ACAACACCTAATCTCGAAATACGCCAACCCAACATGTAACTTCGGAGACACCTGTAGAGCACCTTTATAATCACCCAGTTACGTTGTGACGTTTGGTAGCACACAAAGTGGTCCTCTGGTAAACGGGAGTTGCATAATCTCATAGTCACAGGAACATGTATAAGTCATGAAGAAAGCAGTAGCAACATACTAAACGATCGTGTGCTAAGCTAACGGAATGGGTCAAGTCAATCACATCATTCTCCTAATGATGTGATCCCGTTAATCAAATGACAACTCTTTTGTCCATGGCTAGGAAACTTAACCATCTTTGATTCACGAGCTAGTCAAGTAGAGGCATACTAGTGACACTATGTTTGTCTATGTATTCACACATGTATCATGTTTCTGGTTAATACAATTCTAGCATGAATAATAAACATTTATCATGAAATAAGGAAATAAATAATAACTTTATTATTGCCTCTAGGACATATTTCATTCACTGGAACCAGTGATGGCGAAGGTGGAGGCGCTTTCCTCGGCCACACGCTGCTCCTGGGATTCCTCGGCCAAGACCACCCAAGAGAGAACTGTGTCGAAGGGGAGGGTCTGGTCATCGAGGACGACACGAATGGTTTCGAGCCGCTTGTCGAGGCCATGAAGAAACTGAGTGGTGAGATGAGTCTCGGTGACGGCGTGGTCGATGTCGGCGAGGCCGTCGGTGAGGAGCTTCATGCGACGCGCATATTCGGAGACCGAGAGATCGCCCTGCTTGAGGTTGCGGTATTGGCGGTTGAGGATCATGTAGCTGGCGGCGCGATTGGCAAGGAAGTAATCCTTGATCTTGTGCCAGAGGGCGAACGTGGTCGTGGCACCGACGACATGGTTGCACATGGTGTCGGAGAGAGTGGCATAGATCCACAGAACTACATGGGCGTCCAGCTCGAGGTATTGGGAGGTGGCGTTGGGTGGAGGAGGGTCCTCGATGAGGTAGGTGACGCCACAGCGGAGAAGCACCATGAGAAAGAAGGTTTTCCACTTGTGGTAATTGTGATCTGCTGGGTTGAGGAGGAACTTGATGTGGTTGGTGATGTGGTCGTGGAAGATGGAGGGGCTAGGGGCAGGGGTAGGTGGCATGGGCGAGGGAGTGGTGCCGGCGGTGAACAGCGGGGAAAATTGGGTGCCAGATGCGGCGGAGGAGCCGCTGAAGAGGGACGAGGTGGTGCCGAAGGAGAACACCGACGAGGTTGCGGGAGAGGTGGCCGCAGAGGAGTCGGTGGCAGGCGCCGTGGAGGAGGAGAGAGAGCCCGGCGAGGTGGCGGAGCTCGAGGTGCCGCCGGAGGAGGGGGAGGAAGGAGGGCCGGCCATGGGTGCTCCTGGTGTCTGATACCAAGTTGGAGAGATTAACTCTTGATTGAATGAGTAGGATCAGTTACAAGGTTACAACATATACAGGAGAGAGCCCTTGAGAGGCGGCACGCAGGCCAGGGCGGCTGTTATGGATCCTACAATCTAGACTATACACAAGCGTACACCGATATACAGAAAACTGTCTAACAGTTTGTGCCAAAAACCACTAATTTTGAGTCCTTTTTTTGCAAAAACACTAGTCGCCGACTTAGACCATTTTAAGCACGATTATGACATGTGGGTCCTGCCAGACAGGGTGATGTTATTGAGCTCATCCATGGCCGCCCGATGCTCAAGCCACCGTCGCCGGATACATGCGTCTTGCCCGTTCCCGACCACGTCGGATCACCCCTCTCCCTCGCTGCTAGAGCAAGCAGCTGCGGCGACCGCGCACATGGAGGGAGTGGCCGCCGGCGTCCTCCACTGGACTGGAGGACTCGATTGTTTGGGTCGCGGCGGACAGCAAGCGGACGCTTCGAACCTCCGCGTCGGGGCCGCGTGGCAGGCGGCCACCTACCCCCCACCCGCCAACATAAATGCGCACGGGCGGGTGGCCCCACTGTCATCCGCACAGCGACGGGTCGTCGTCCTTTTTAAATGGGAAGCCGTGGACCGGTCGTCGTCCACACTTCCCACTCCGGCCGTTCTCTGCCCCCTCGAAACCCGACACCCTCGAAACCCTAACCCTCCGCTCCCCGTCGTCGACCTCGCCGGCCGGCCGCAGCAATGGGCCTTTGGAACTACGGCCGCAAGGGGAAGCACGACCGCGAGGCCGGCTCCTCCTTTGGCCGCCGCCGCGGATCCGTGAAGAAGGAGGAGCCCGCGTCACCGCCACGCTCCTCCCATCGAGCCCCAGCGTCACCGTCGCGCTCCTCCCGTCGAGCCCCCGCGCCGGCCCCCTTCACTATTGCCCCTAGGCCCGCCTGTGAGCGCGACCGACAGTACATCTGCGCGGACCTGTGCCGGAGGTACTGGGAGACGAGGACGCCGGTCCCGTGGAGCGACGCCCACCTCCTCAACGGATGGCACCTCTTCACGGATCGGGTCCCCATCCCGCCGGTGCCCGTGACCGGCCGTGCCTGGCGCGATGAGATCGCGCGCCGCCGCCGCCTCCTCCCTGACAACCTGTACTACGACCACAGGTATGCCCCCGACTCCCCGCCGTGGGACAAATGGCTCCAGGACGAGCACGGCGTGCGGCGGGCGTCCTACTTCGCCGGCACCGAGTCGGGGCCGTGGAGGCCACGTGCAGAGGCGCGCGGGCGTACGCGGGTGCGCGGCCTGACGCCCACGCCGTCGCCTTCCCCGTCTTCGTCGCCACCTCTCCCTCCTCGCATGACAGCGGAGGAGGAGGCCCGTCTCCTGCAGCGTGTCATGGACGACTCCATGAACACGCACGACGAGCGGCAGTTGAACGGCCTGGAGGAGGCCATGGTCCTCTCTGCCGCCGGGGACGTCGCCTTCCCGGAGCTGTAGCTGGCGGCCGTCACGGAGGAGCCGATGGAGGAGGACCCGCCGGCCGCGTTCCAGCAGCTGCTGGGCCAGGGGTGGGGCTGGTCCTGCACTGCTCCGGAGATGGCCGCCGGCGTGGGCGTGAACTGGTGCCCCACTCCACCGCGGTCTCCGGAGCGGGAGGCGTCGCCGCAGGAGGAGGTGGTGCAGGCACCTCCGGCCGTCCAGCCCGCCCCCGTCTGCCATGCACCGCCGCCCCACCTCTGGACGCCGCCGGACTACGTCGACCTCGTCAGCGACGACGACGACACCGGCGGCCAGTGAAGACGGCAACGGCCACGGCACCGGCGGGCGCGGCAGGAGCGCGCGGGAGGAGTTTTTTTTTATTTTGTTATTATGTTAATTATGAAACTGGCCCTTTTAAGTGGCCTTGAAACTGGGTCGTTTTGTGGCCGACCCCTATATATGTTTTATATTTTTTTTAAATGCGTTTATTTGCTTTTTTAGTTATTTCATTCTAGTTTTTATAGTTTTTTTATTCCCGTCCACCCCGGACACGATTTGGGGAGCGGCCGCGCGGTGGGCGCACGCACGACCCAACGGACACAGCCGGACACGGGCGAACCCATCGGCGCCCCAAAGGGACAAATTCCGTTCAATCCGGACGTCCGTTTGGGGTCGCGCGGTGGAGCTGGCCTTAGGAAATACTCACTCCGTCGAAAAAGCTTGTTCCTGAAAAAGCTTATTACCTGCAACGAATGTAACTAGCATCAAGTTAGTGCTAGATACATTCATTTAAGAGACAAGCTTGGGACGAGTTTTTTCGGACGGAGAAAGTAATATATTGCTAAGTTTGCACATCAATTTAGGAATTACTACCGGAGTAGGTTTCTTCGTTTCAGATTGCTGTAAACCAGAGCAAGTTTCAGGTCAAGCCCTGATAGCCTGCATGATCCATCCATCATCAGGGCAAGGCCAACACGCCACCGTGGACAGCTGCCCCAGCTATCCACATAGGCTCGGGTGGTCCTAAACTGCTCAACGTGCTGCCTGCAGATCAAAACGGATGCTTGCAGAGGAGGCCGGCTCCTCCCTGACCAAAGAAGCAAAAAGGTGAGAGAAGGGTAGAAAAGAAGAGAAAGGTGAACATACACTGGTACAGAGTAGACATGCTCTCGGTTCATGCTTGAAAAAGATTACGAAGAGAGAGAACATACTTTATCTAGGTGGAGAAGATGAGGCTATACCTTACGGATGCTTCCATTGCTCATGCCCTCAGGGACGACTGTCGTGAGTGCAGTAGCTTTGGAGGTAAAGTACTAAAGACGTACAGTATTGCATAAAGATGCAGTGCTGGTCGCTTTCATTGGTTACTCATCATACCTACAAGTACTCCTGCTTCATAAATTTGGCACCGGTGCATGCTTATCAGAAGCTAGCTAATCGTACTACACTAGTGACGTACTGACGTCCACCCTACCGTTCCAAATTCCATCTAACCTGTAACCTGAATTCACGGTTGTTGCGCACGCTAACGTAGATAGAAAGTTCAATGGATGGGCAGGCCCACGAGTTCTATCCCCCATAGATTCTTTTTTACTTCTGGAGTGATATCCCCATAGAACAGGTGCTGTCAAGAAAAGAAAAAGGTGACCGGACTGGGTCGTCTGGGTCATCGATCACGGACTTCCAGAAACCGGAAATTCAGAACGACATGACATGTCTCCCCCTGTTGATGCCTCATGAAAGACAGGGCATGGCGAGAGGCCGGAAAGAGGGGAAGAAACCACCAAATTGTTCCCATCCTCAAGGCAACTACTGTGTGCCTGGCAAAGTGTCTTCGGTCTCAGGATCAGGCTGCTTTCTCTTTTACTTTCCCAGAAAGCACCGTCATGTTACATCCGACCCGCCTGGGAGTTGCTGGGACCATGCAAAACGTCCTCCAACGAAATTACTTGTGTACAGCACCAGGAACAAAAACACACTCCAAAACGCAGGCCAAACAGGCCTTTCCGTACATGTACATTTACACTAATGTTGAAATGTTCATCACCACTCACAGCACATCACCAACAATTACTCGCACAGAGAACACATGACAATACAACACATATGTGCAGGCAGCCATAGGTTTATTTGTTTGCCTGAAGATCGGCTCAAGCATTCAGGCCCATCTGCTTCCTCGTCTTGCCGACGAACAGGTCCTTGGATTTGAGCATCCCCGGTATGCACCCGGTGAGCGTCAGGTAGGGTAGCTGCGCCAGCCCTTCCTTCCTTCCTAGAGAGACGATCGCCAGCGGGAAGCCCGTGCTGTAGGTGGCGAGCTTGCTCGGAGGTGACCCCTTGATCAGTAGCTTCAGGTTCTTCGCTACCAGCAGCGCGTGCTTCTGGGCGAGGTACCCTTGTTTGATTTCCTGGACATCAATGGTGGGTATATCAGTAATCTCGTAGTGTTTCCAAGATACAGAGTTACATTATAAGTCGGAGATGTTGGATAAATTATGCAGAAACTGGAGAAACATGATCGCTATATACACACACTGAAGAACAAGTTATTTCACATGGAAACAAACACCTTTCAATCAAATAAGATGAAATATCTTAAGACCAAGCATTAGAGTGGGTTCACGGTTCAGACTGCTAGATAAAGTGTATTGGATACTAATTTTATTTAGTGCATCTACACATAAGACGATTAGCATTTACTTGTGCATAATTTTGTTTTACACGGATTTGAACTGAACAATCCCAACGCACAGAAGATTCTGGGGTATGCTAGAAATGCATCAGATAAAAACACAGGCCTTTGGACATGGAAGGAAGTCACGATACATACTCATCAGACAGCAGAAATGAATTGCTGAGCTAAATCTAACAGACTAACAGTCTACAAACAAATGCAGCCATGCAGAAATCACTCTGCAAATTTCGGTCACATCTTGATTCAGGTCAAATGATTGCTAATATGTGCAAGTTAATTAACACTGATAGGGAAAATGAAAATTGTCAGCCTGAAGAAAACAGAATAACATTCTCAAATGAAGGAGAATCTAGAAGCATAACGAGCATGAAGTTTTAAATGAAGACTTACAGGAATATCGGTGATGTCACCAATTGCAAAAATGTTATTGTAACCCTTCACTCTTAGGTCCTTTTCCACCATTACTCTTCCTTTGGTGTCCAAAGATTCCTTCAGGATGGTATCATGTAGCCACGATGAACTCAGTGGCTTACCGATACACACAAAGTGGCAATCAGCTGTTATTGTTTCTCCAGCTGATGTTTTGTAGAACTTCTCTGTGTCTGATAATGATTTTAGGTCAACTGATTGTTGGAAAAGTACATCCACTTTCTTGGAAGTCAGCCAATCAAGGCACTTCTTCGAAGCCTTTTGATCAATGAAATCAAGTAATCGTGATCCTCTGTGAACAAGTGTCACCTTCTTCTCTGGATAGTCTACTGCGATCTCTGCAGCAAGTTCAACACCAGTTGGACCACCTCCAATTATCAACACAGACTCGGAAGATTTTATCTTCCCGTTATCTGTTACAAGATCAAGGCATAAGTAGGAAATACAAGGTCGCAAAGCATGCCATCTTTCAAATATGCACTTAGTTACCTCTCTGGAATTCTGCAAGCCTCTCTGTTCTGCTTCCAGCAGAAGCAAAAACATGGCCAGTAGCTACAACGAGATAATCATATGCAAGTGATTGACCATCAGCAGTCAGAACAGCATGCTCAGTGATATTGACTGCAGAAGATGTTACAATAGTAGCAGTGGTGAGGTAATCTCTGTGATATATTAATGATCTCTCAGCAAAAGATGGTTCAACCGTTGATCTCAATTCAGCCCAGGTGATCTCCAGGTAGTCCTTCCTGTCATCAGAAGAAATCATTTTCATGAATGAACCTACCAATTCTGAAGGCTAATAATAGTTAAAGGTATGAAGCCTTGTCCATACAAAGGAAATCATATTATTGCAGTTTTAGCTTAATATGGAGCCTTGGCCGTATGGCTCGTTGCCCCCTCTGCCACTCTAGCAGGTATGGCCGTATGGCTCGTCGCCCCCTCTGCCTCTCTTTGCTCTGCTGCTGCTGCTGTGGGGACTGGGGAAGGAGAAGGACCGAAGGAAAGAGAGGCAGAGAGCGCGGGGCGGGCTCTATATGTGGTCTGCTGTTAGATGTATATCAGTATAGGCTGCTTCTGTTGGCTCTGGTGCTCTATATTAGTATATGGCGACTTGGGGCGACTATTCAAGCCGAGTCACTGAGTCAAGCCAGCAAGCCACTAGCCGCAACCTCGGCGACTCAAAAACCTTGATTTGTACACTGAGGGCTTGTCTTATTCAAAATACCTTTACAAAACGAGGGCCTGAAAGACTTCCTTTATGTTACAATCTATTTCAAGAAAGGAGATCCTTTGCGATGTTAACTCATTGAGCTATGAAACTGATGACCGACTAATCAACCGAAAACAACAGCTATTGTTGTCAATTCAGAGTTCAGGAAAAAATAGCCCGAGGAATCCTTAGACAGTGGTACAAACAGGCGCATTTTGTTTTCAACTGTCATTTTGTCATCAACAGTGGTACTCCCATTGGCATAATTCACTTTGATCCTCTAATGTTGTACATCATAAATAAACTCCACTACATATCACAAAACATAAAACAAGGAAACAACCAAACTTGATATGACTGAATTGTATCCCGACGTTGCTGCATTTCTCTCATACCAGAAAAACGGAAGCAGAGATATGTGCAATCATAAACCAACAATCATAAGTAAGAACATCCCTAGACACCTCCACGAACAGCCCATCCAGTTCCAGTGTTAACCGGACGATCACTAGGATTTTGACAAAATTCACCTTCATTCTCTAAGGCTCTACATCACAGATAAGTCCTATTGCATATAATATACTCCTACCAAACATAAAACAAGGAAACGATGGAACATGATATGACTCGATTATATCCTAACGATGCTGCAATCCTGAACAAACGGAAGTAAGAACATCCCCAAGCCCCCCACGAATAGCACATCCAGCTCCAAGCTTGACCGCGCGATCACTAGGATTCACTAGGGGCAGGCTACTAAACCAAGCCCAAATCTCTCATCCCTCCCCGCCCGATCCAATAATCGCCGGCTGCAGGCCTGCCGCTCCAGCACGCCAATGACAGATTCGAAGATACAGCTAAACCAAGATCCGTTCCCACCCGCACCTCACCGATACTGGCATGTAGGCATTTCATCAAACACGCGGTGGGCGTGAAAAGGGGCGGGGGCCGCGAGTGCGAGAGAGGCTTACGGGTCGAGGAGGACGACGTCGGCGTCGGGCTCCATGGTCTTGGCGAGAAGGGCGCCGCCGATGCCGCCGCCGACCACCACCACCCTCGGCTTTCCCGCCTCCGCCATCGCCGCGCCTCGCTGTCTCGCTCGCGCACCAACCGCGAACCTCCAGCTCCCCCCACTGACTCCACCGCTGCTCTGTCGACTGTCACAGGCTCACAGCTGACGCCCCCCGTTTTAAGCCGAGGGATGGGATGCACGTTCCATCGCGCGGCTTTCCCTCGTCGCATCTGAACCGTCCGTCGCGGGTTGGACGGGCGTGATGAGGCGGGCCCCTCTTCACCCGCGCGTGGCGGGGAAGAAAGGAATTGCGCGTTGCTTTGCTAACGAAACGTATCATGCGTAATAAAATCTCAAAAAATCCAAAAAAGAAACGTATCATGCGTTCCATCCTTCGGTTACGCGCTTCCGTTTTCTCATGAGAAAGATGGTCTAAATTTTCTCTTCCCATGAGAAATTGGTGTTTTCCTTAAAAATCATCTTTTTTTTTTGCGGGGACCTTAAACATCATTTGGTTACGAAATTGCCGCGCGATAATTTGTTGCAAGATACATCACGCAGGACGGACATCCCCAGATAGGACGTGGTTGAACGAAATCACTGCTCCCATGCTTTAAAATTTCAAAAAAAAAGTATGGATGCTGCGTTGACATCACATGAGTGTACGAGCCCTAAACTTGTTAACTCAAAATTCAAAATATACATGGAGAAACAAAAAAGACAAATTCGGATATGAATAGTGGCACTTTGACTTTTATCTTTTCTATGTCACTATCATGCTGGATTTGTTTTTTTTTTTGTTTCTCAATTTTGTGACACTATCAAATTTAGGGATTGCACACTCATGTGATGTGAACATCCATGCTTTTTTTCAGAATTTTTGAAACATTTAAATGTGCATTTTGTTAATTTGGAGCATGAGAGCACCTAAGGGATGGGAGCACATGATATTCTCCCCCTTTAAGGTCACTCCCATCTTCTCTAGTGGTGACAACTGAAGCACTGCAAGTGCGCCACTTGTCGTAATCTGTGAATTTTGCTTTTTTTTCAGTACTTTTTATCTCTTGAGTCATGTGTCCAAATCATGAATCGTCCGCCCCGCTTCGAGATATTTAAAATTAGATCACATGTTAATAAGTTTCAATGAACTTTTTTTTCAAAAAAAAGCAAAGTCGAGAAAACAAGAACCAGAAAAAGAGATTGCAACAGAAAAAGGGAGAATCGAAAGAAGAAAATGCTATAACCTGGAAGCACAGTTGTGCTTTTTTAGTTTTTTTGGGAAGCACGGTTGTGCTTTCCCTTTTTTCAGAAAGCACGGGTAGGCTAATCCCTTTTGGAGAAGCACAACTATGCTAATTCCTTTTTCCGTGAAGCACTGCCTTGTTTTCTGGGCTTTCCCAGACATGTAGACGAGCAACACACATGGCTCGGTGAAGCCTGACTCTAGGAAAATGGATGATTTGGCTGCTCCTTCTTAGCCAAGCCCCGGGCTACTCTGAGATTCGTGCAGGACATGAATTTGGTGTAGCCCAGGCAACCAAATAGGCCGAATTTGCATCCTCTGGGCTGGACCAGGGTGTATGCGGGCAACCAAATACATCATTGAGAACCCTTACATTTACCATCCACTAGTGCAGAAAATCCTAGCTATGACATAGGAAAATTAGCCTTGCTGGCGTTGGGTTCCAACACCACCAATATGGTGCCAGTGATTTTTTTACTAGTGGCGTCGGAGCACACGTCAGCAGTATTTTATACTGATGGTCTGCCATGTGGCCAATGCCAACAACAAGTGTATGTTACCACTGACATGCCTTGTTAGGCCAACACCACCAAATTGATTTTTCGCTTAAAAATATATATGCAGCTATGTAAACCATCAACTAATTTAAGATATACTAATGCATAAACTAGTTCAACTTAACAAACTACATAGAAGTTAGCAGTTCAAGAACTAAACTAGTTCAGCTTAACAAACTACATCATCCATAGCTAGCCTTGGTGGTCAATCACATTTCATGATCAAGGATTGCCTTCATCTGTTGAATCTTGTACCTATTGTTCTCTCTCTCTTTTTTAAAACGAGCTTTCACCATCTTAAGCTCATTCCTCTCAGCCTGAGGAGCTTTCTCTCCTTCTTTAGTTGTCCCCTCTCCTCGATCAGCTGATCACTCAGCTCCCTCAGCCTAACAGTCTTATCGAAGAGATCAACCTTCTAGTCGATCAGTTGATTCCTCTCCGCCTTCAGCGCGACATTCACCTCCTTTAGGGGCTTGATGGTGCTTTCATGAGACTCTATAAGCTGGCGCTTGAGTATGTTCACATCATAGACCTTCTCCTCGACGGTTGTCAGATTCAGTACATATGCCTACCAAGTCAAATGTTTAAAATCGTTAGATATGCATGTGTTTGCAATCATCATGAATGGTTAGATATATGCATGTGTTTGCAGATCATGGATGTGTTTGGACTTTGGAATCTTACTTGGTTGGTGCTCGCTTCGCCTCCGTCGGCATATGTCGCGAAGTTGCAAGAAGACCTGTAGTGACTATTGTAGACTCATCAACGCCAACTACAAAATAATAACAAGTTTTATGAATGAAACCCAAAGTCAAAGACAATTTCACACGAGTTAACAATTTCATAGTCGACACTAGTTATTAGAACAAGAGTATGAATGACACTAGAGGATGAACTATAGTATATGAACTAGAGAATGCACTAGAGTATATGAACTAGAGGAGGCACTATTTTTGGCACTTTTGAACTATGACAACATATGGCTAGGATGAACTAGATTACATGAATGCAACTAAAAGAATACATGACCTATATATTAACACTAGTTTTGGCACTGTTTTGGCAGTGTCAAAGCTTTGGCAAACAAAAAAATAACATTACTTCATGGCTTTAATCAAGCACAAAATCTTTAAGCAAGCACACAATTTAACACTGGTTCTTGGCTTTAATCAAGCACTAAATCTTTGACACCAATGAAAACTAGTTCAAATATTGTATATGTTGGCATGTTTTGGCACTAATTTGACACTGTCAAAGTTTTGGCAATGCAACTAAATCAAGAAAACAGCGAAAAGTAGTTCAAATATTGCATATGTTGGCACTGAAGTAGCAATTTATATAAGTATATAACTAAATGCAACTAAATCTTGGCATTGTTCTGGCCATGACCTATAGCAAAATATTCTTAAAAATGCCATGGTCTTTTAGGCCATGAACTAGAGCAAACGATTCTTAAAAATGCCATGGCCATGGTCTTTGAACTAGTTTGGTCTTTTTGGCCATGGCCTAGAGCAAACAATTTTTAAACAATTCTTAGAAATGCCATGGCCATGACCTAGAGCAAACAAATTTTATGTCAACATGTTTGGCCATGACCTAAGCAAAATTACAGTGAGACGAGAGTAACCAAAGCCCAAGTAAAATTACAGTGGCCATGACCTATGCAAAAAGCCATTTGTTTTGGCAGTGACCTATAGCAAGAAACAGAGGATGAGATGCTCACCTGGGTTGGAGCCGAGGGTTGCAGTCG